GACTTAACAGCTAGAAGAAAAACAACACAAAATAATGCCAGCCATTGAGAATTAAGACCACAGTTTTGGACATGGTTATGTCATTTTTGGTCTCTGGAAATGGTCAAAAATTGTCACATCCCTTTTGAAGATGGATCTCTTTACTGTCCCTTTTAACTCTAACTAAGCATACTACATTTTTGACTAATAGGTTCAGGCCTACATTTTGAAAGGATTAACATCTTCTACTCCCTCCTTCTTTGAACCTGGCAGCTATTTCAAGAGAAACCCCACCAACCACATGGGAAGGTCCATGAGATGAGAGCTCAGGGGGATCTCCTAGCCCATGACCATATCATTTGCTAGCCCATGATTAAGCTCCCTTGGAAGTAGATCCCCTAACTCTAGTACAGACATAAACTTCTCTCCTCGAGCTCTACCCAAATTGCTAAATCAGGGATAAATAAGATTGTTACATTAAACCTCAAAATTTAGGGTATTTTTTACATAGCTACAGACTGCTTCAAAGCCTTATTCCAGGCACTTAAATCAGTTATTTTAGCTACATATTTCTTAAAAGGGAAAGGAGAGAAGAGGCAAGATGTTCATTCATTCCAATATTTGTAGTGCTAGACAGATTTAGATAATGCTCTTCTGGAACTTTGATCTGTGACCAAGATTCAATGTAATGAAGTGTGATTCTATAAAGACAGGAATCAAAGTGAAGATAAAGGGGTACAAGAAAGCTAATACATTCTTCAATAGTATTTTGTAAATTGATGAAGATTAAGTCCATCTGTGAGATGGTCACTCAGTTAGTCATACTTGATGATCTACCTGGAAAACAATTTCTTCTATACAGATTACTTAAACAGAGAATCCGTGAAGATGTAGGGTTTCAGTAGCTACCCAACAAGAGAATGTTAAAAAAAAAAATGTATGTAGAGTGGTCTCTACAGCCTATATCTAGGAGTAAAATAAATTCTTTTTTTTCTGCATAATTATGCAGTTGTCTACCAGAAAGCTTTAAGCCTCTCAATTAAATAGCAATTTTGTGAGGTTTAGTAAATTCAAGTTTTATCTTAATACTACTGCACCTGAACACTTCTTTCTCCCAATGAACGAATTAGTCTAAGAGCAAAGTGTTATAATAATGAACAAGACTAAATACTCATTTCACAAGTTTTACCCAGAAAGAACTGACTGCTGATCAAAACTCCTTGATTGTGAGGAAGAAGATATAAAACTTCCTTTAACAAATGAATGTGTGTCCAATTAGCTTCTTGGCCATGGAGATGAGAGGTTGAAAATCATGCATTTAAGTACTTTTTGGCAGATATTGAAGTCTTTCTTTAACCTCACGTTAAGAAAAGAAATATACCATTGAGTCTTTGATAGGGACAGTTAATAGTCAAGACAAAAGAAAAGGCAACTCATGCATTTCAAATTTTGCTTTTTTCTCTTTTGTCACTAATTAAAGATAAATATGCTTTTATCTAAGTGTTCAGACGTGGGATAAACCATTTTTGTTCATGAATAAATAAAAATCTTTTGATATTCTACAGATAAAAAATTTTGGTTTTTTTTTTTTAAAGATTTTTTTTTTAATTTGTGCATACAGAACTGGGGTACAGGCCAAAGGTGCAAGGGCGGTGAGAGGATTCACCAGAGACAGAGTGGAGAGTAGAACAGGCAGATCAATGAAGTACACTGCTTAGAGGAGCAGCGTGTGAGTTAGGAAAGGTCTGGTATGCCATGCGGATCACCTCTCGGGCAGGTGGAGATCGAACTCAGGCAGAAGTGGCTTTAGCGTCTTAGTGCTGTGCGGTGCTTTAACCTGCTGCAACACCAGGGAGGACCTAAAAATGTTATTTTTATCTCCTATAATCATGTCATAGGATCACAAATAGTTGTTGTATAAACCAAGGGAAAAAAAAGGAACACATTCATGAATTTTCACACATGCAAAATACTTCATGCCTAATATCCAGTTTAAGGTCTTCTAATTATTTAACTACACTCAATTCTCTCCTTTCTCTTGTGCCTAAGCATGCCTGGAGCACTAGAAGTACAGGCCAATGATTCAACTACTGGCCAAGCTTGCCCTTTCATGAACAGCAGATTTCAAATATAAATTGATTCAAGTAACTATTTCTTGTTCAGGATGTTTTGAAGTTAGTGACAATGTTGACAAAATGTCAATGACTACTGAAATTAGAGCACCCTTGTAGAAGAGGTAAGCTCACAAGTCAATGTCAACAAAAGAGACCTCTTGTTTATGATGCCCTTTTAGTATTTTTCCTGCCTTGAAATCTTGGGAAACAGCAATTTAATGGGCGTAATGGTGACCACCACAGTGTTGCAGTATCTGGATCAAATCAAAGTGGCAGTTTTGCCCCCTAAGATGTCAAACAAAACCAGAGAAAAATTACAGTCAAAAGAAGAACCTCTTTGTTCCACCAAAGACACAGTGTGAAGAATACAAGTGAGTTGTATTTGGATCTAAGGAAACATGGATAATAACCTATGAATGCAATAGAATTGGTAAGTGTTCCAGCTATTGCTCCTGATGATTTGAACTGAGATTTAGGTCCCATAGGGATGAACCCCATAAATGCCCTTGCCTTATACATTCTCTTCACACATATCCTAATTTAAAATATGTATCTAAACAACAACAACAAAAAAATAACTACCCTTAAAGAGTCAATCCACAGGAAAACTAGGATTAGGAGAGCAACACAATCATTGAATCTAGAAATGGGTTTAAAGAAGGCAAAAAATTATCAAGCAGGCAGTACGGGAAAAAACTGGTTTAAAAAGAAAGTTTGGGTAAAAACTTATTTACATAGGAACATGGAATGTTCCCATGTCCTTACAACACTCAAATAACAATTGTTCCAATTAATGCAGAATTCACAATGGGTACTCTTTGGTCTGGTTTTCTAAGTAGTACTCAAGGAGAAACAAAGAATAGAAAGTTTGATCTCCTACTTGCATTTCACTTTAGTAGTGGTTCATCTCATACACTCAAGATACTTGCGATACTTATTTAGCCTTTTAACTACTCTTGTTCTGAACCTGATTTATTTTTAAACAAAAGTAACTGAATAGCACACTTCGAATGAGGAGAGTTAAAGCAGAGAAATAAACATTATGAAGGGTTAGCAGAGACTGCAAGATACCCTTGGTGTTGGATATTATTTTAAAAGATTTATTTATGCATAAAGAATGGGCTTGGAGTGCAGGGGCAGTGAGAGGATTCACTAGAGACAGAGTGGGGAGCAGAACAGGCCCACTGCGAAGTATACTGCTGAGGGGAACAATGGGAAGGTTAGAAGAGGTCTGCCGCCCCATGTGGATCACCTCCCAAGTTGGAGGTAGAACTCATGCTGAAGTGGCTTTAGCTTTTTTTTCTTTTTTAAGCTTATTTATTTATTTGTGCATACAGAACTGGGGTACAGGCCAGAGGCTCAGGGGTAGTGAGAGGCTTCACCAGAGACAGAGTGGGGAGCAGAACTGGAAGATCTACAAAGTACACTGCTGAGGGGAGCTGTGGGAGGGTCACGAGAGGTCTGCCATGCCATGCGGTCACCTCCGGGGCAGGCAGGAATCTAATTCATGCAGAAGTGGCTTTAGCTTCTCAGTGCTGTGCTTTAACCCACTGCACCACCAGGGAAGGCCCTGGTGTTGGATTTTTTAATGACCTTAGAAGCCAAAGCCTTCTCCTTAGAGTGAGTCAAGGACCCAGGACTGTTTATTTTAGATTTGAAACCTCTCTCCAGGTAAAATAATTCTCTTCCCCACCCTCCAATCCACCTCTCTTTTTAAGTTAAAAGACCCCACAGTTAGCATCTCCCAAGACTTATACATCACAGGAAAATACTCAAGATTAGGAAATGCCTCTATCACATTCAGTCAACACTTCAAAAACTATTCCAAGCCCTAGCAGGGACAGCAAAGCAGCTTAGAGGGCTGCTTAGAGGGTCAGAGACTGGCTAAATGCATTCACTGTTGGATACCTAGACCCAAATCTGTGTGTGTGTGTGTGTGTGTGTGTATGTGTGTGTGTGTGTGTGTATGGGGGAGGGAGAAGGGAGTGGTTACCCTTTTTCTACCCCCTTTCCATAATTAACCTCCCTCCCACCCTTCACATATAAAGGTGCCATCTGGATGTTTTTGCACCAGTCCCCTTTTCTTCCCCTTTTTAGTCTTCAGCCATACACAGGGTATTTATTCAAGTTGGTATTTGAATTCACACGGTATTTATTCAATTTGCCTCCTAAATGACTCAGTGAAGGTGCTAATAGGAAAAACTAGACTTCCTCCTCTTTTAACTTCCTTAGGTTTGGCATCCTCACTTCTCAAGTATTCAAAGAATACTATGGGGGAGGTGTGGAGTGGGAGACATTCCTAAAGTCATAAAAAAAAAATGTGACTTTGACCATCTCATGTTGCTGTAGCTTTAATTTCAAAGCTGGTCTAAACATTCTAAATAATATGTTGTAGTGAGATCCAGGAATTGCACATATGCTTGCCATAGAAACTCAGATGCATCACACCAAGTCAAGTGGTAGATTTAAAAAGCCAGTGAGTTTTTCATCACACCAGCCCCAGTACCATCCAGTGAGTTACCATTGGCTTGTGCTTGGCTAGGATTACTATTTGTTTTACAGACTACATAGAAGAATGTTGTACATAAATTGGGGGAAGGAGGTGGAAAGGAACACGGGCACAGAAAATGGAAAATAAACGCTTTGGCTGTGTGGTGAGAGCTAGTTTCTTTTTTAAGCCACTGGTTTCAGACTGAAAATATCAAGCTAGTTCAGGTCATTTCCTTGAGTAGCACTACAAGTTAAAACAAGATCCAGAAAATCTATTAATCTTTAATTATGTTGCCTCCAGCCTAGAAGCGTGAGGAGGGGATCAAGTGTGGGGCTGGGGGAGATTGGCAGGGCAGGGGTTTGCCAGAAAAACCAATGTCTAAGAAACCCGAGAACCCCACCTTAGTTTTTTCTTACCTCACTCAGTTCAGCCGAGGAGTCGTTTCCGTATTTCATGGCAACTCCAGTATTCATGACTGCACTTTTCAGAGCTGGGCTCCTCCTCTTCCAGGTCTCCGAGCTTAAGAGTTGAGCTTAGCAGGCTGGAAATCCACTGTTTAGTCCCTTCAGGTATATTTTAGCCTAGACAGCCATTTTCACTCAGGAAAGTTGGGAAGCCAAAATCGAGGATGCAGCTCTCCTAAGAGACACCCAGCCGGCGAGTGTGTTTCAGCGCCCAGCCATGGCTGCAGACAGCAGGGTGGCGTGCGTGCTTGCAGCTGCAGCCACGAGCCGAACTAGGACCACCCCGATGCCGCCTCGCCTTTCTTAAGGTCCCTTGCCCATACCCATTACCAGGCTGTAGTGCACCCCATCGCAGGATCAGACACCCGGAGACACCAGGGATACCGGGCGGTGAGGATCCGCCCGGTGGGTTCCGGGGAAGGAGAGAAAGCAGCACAGACTGGCCGGCTGCACTTCACGCCGAAGTTTCCCCCTTTGAATCGTCTGGAGTTGTAAGTGGTTTCTGATTGAACCCAGCTGTCTAGCTGCTGGCTACGGGGTGAGCGGAGAAGGCGGAGCCAGAAGAGAACGGGAGGAGGCAGAGCAGAGACCTTGCCAGAGAGCAGGCATTCTTCCAGGTCTCTGCGATAGTAATTACAGCACCCGAGTCCTGGAGGGAGAGGAGAAACAGGAAGATCCATATGAGTAATTGTGCAGAAAAATTAAAAACAGAACGGACAAAAACCACTTCCCTACTGGAAGCCACTTTCCATGATTTAGTAAGAAAGGTCAAGACAATTTTCTATTGGTACATTTAGATTTTACAGGAATGTGGGCGTTCATTCCCTCTGATCAGTCTAAAAATCAACACTGAGGATGTAAAACCATTCGCAAATCCTTCTCTGTTACTGGGCAGCGTGCATTTTCTGCATAAATGGTACATGCAAGAAACACAAGATTACGATTTGAAGATGTTTAAGACAGGCTCATATCTTCTATCTTCCCAACTTCCAAACTTCCCGTAAAAATCTCGCCTGGGCAGAGATAGGCTTGTATCATCTGCGGTTTGGCGTATGTATCAGAAAAGATTCAAGAGATTGAGGGTTGAAAGTAGACTGTATCTTTGGAGGAAAGGACTCAGGTTTTTTTTTTTTTTTCCCTCCATAAAGGTTAAAGTCCAACTGAGCTAGAGATACACTGGAAAATGTTCTGACTCTTTAAAACTGCTGTTCTCTGGGCCTGCTTAAGCTACCTCATCTGTGTCTTTCTATATAAAATGCCATCCCATGACAGAACTTGGCATTTCCTGAACCCTCCTATGAAAAACTATTGTATTATTAATTTCCAAGTTCTTTTTTTAAAAAACCAAATAAAATGTTTGCTCTTTAAGAAGGAGCAAAAAGTTTGCTTGCATATAATATTTTACCCATCTGCCTTCCTGTTGACCTAATTTGCTGCCTGATGGAGGCACTACTGGATAAGCAGAGTTGGCTGATGTTTTGGAGCATTGAGCCCCAGATTCTGAGTCACCTCCGCTAGGGAGAAGTTGAAAAGTCACGTTTCTTTACTTATTTATTCGTTATACTCGGTTGAAAACTAACCATGTACTTGTAGATATAGATGGTAGTGAAAGAATATTCAAGCACCGACCCTGCCCATCAAAGTATTTATAGTCTATTAAAACATGACCAGAAATCACAATGCTAAGTAGAATATAATTGCCTAAAATAATAATGATGATGATAATAATGATAATAATAATAATATAAATGAAGAATTACTGCTGTTCAAAGGAGAGAAGAATGATTGGGGGAGGGGGATATTGAGAAACCTCTGAAGAAATCCTAGAAGAGCAGCCTGTGGCCTTTTGCAGCAACATGGATGGAGCTGGAAGGGCTCATGCTTAGTGAAATAAGACAGGAAGAAAAGAAAAATACCAGATGGTTTCACTCATAGCAGGAGTATAATGGACCAGGCGAGAAAATAATAATAATAATAATGAACAGCTATATACCAAAGATATTTTATGGGGGTGGAGTGGGAAATGGGATCAAAAATAGTGGGGGGAGGGAAATGCACTGGACTATGGTGATGGCACATGGGTTATTTGGTGATGGGAAGCCCACTAGGATTACAACTGAGATGGAAAAATGCACAAAATAATGTAAAAATAAACTACTATATTATTTAAAAAGAAGAAGAGCAGCATCTGAGTTTATCTTGAAAAATGGCTGACAACAATAGATAGGGAGTTAGAAAAGGTTTTTCAGGTAGTGGGACCACTGTACAAGAGAATATGAATGTAGACTACATATGCAAAGCATATGTGTGCATTGGCATGCACATTCTACTTTGGAATGGAATCTGCTTAGAAAAGTGAGTCGAAGTAGATCATGGACAGTTTAGAGTGCCAGGCTAAATAAATGGGACTTCATGATAGGCAATGAAGAGCCACTAAAAGTTTTTGAGCAAAGAGCTATTAAGAGTAGAGCTATGCTCTACATTCTGGTAGATTTATATCATACTTATAAGTAACTAATGTGAATGCAAGTAGACTAGTGTTGAATGTGATTCTTATGTTTAAAGAAACATTTTTCTTACTATATGGTACCTAAAATCAAGCAGATGACTTCATCTGGTATTCAACCAAAAGAAAAGTGATCTGTTTCAAAAGTAGAAGAAGAAATGACAGTGTTGAGCTCGCCAAGAAGCACTATATCTGCAGATTCTACTTTATGGACATTACAAGGCACTTTTGACAGATTTTTCTTCCTGAAAAATAACTTTAATTCTCGACCCCCACATATGATACAACTCCTAATCTGGTAGCAGGAGATGTCTAAATTGAAAGTAAAAAATGATTATTTCAAGTGGATTATCCAAGTAGTCCAACAAAAGACTAAGAGAGAATTAAGTGGAAATGAAGAGGAAATAGACAGGAGATTTAGGATACTATAGAAAGAAAGCAGATGATTGGGGCTTTCCCTGGTGGCTCAGCAAACTGAAGTGTAGCACTAAGGAGTTGTCAGTAGCCCCTGCAACGTAAGTTCGAACTACAGCCAGGGAGGTGATCCACATAGCGTGGCAGACCTCTCCTGAACAGCCTGCTCCTCCCTCAGCAGTGTATTTCAGTCTATCTGCCTGCTCTGCTCCCCACTTTGTCTCTGGTGAATTCCCTCACCCTTCACACCTCTGGCCTGTACCCTAGTTCTTATATGCATAAATAAAGAAATCTTAAAATAAAAAAGAAAGTAGATAAAATTGTTACTAAAAAAAGAACTAAAAATTGACATGTATACTAAAACTTGGTTGATTGATTTTGAACAATCTCAACAGAAATTGGAATTCCTGAAAAGGAAATAAGTTATAATTATTGTCAGCACATGGTAGTAAATTTCTCTTGTTGTCTCAGGTCATTAGGCATAGGTCACCTTGTACATAAGTTTCTGGACCATAAGTGAAGCTTATATGTGATAAGGATTCTGTACATGACAAACTTTCATGTCTCTATGAAGATATGTCTTTTACAGAGCACAGATCATTCATAGAAGACAATAATCAGAAGATGCCAGGATGATACATTCCTCATGGCCCCTTCCCACACTAAACAAGACTGTGTAATTTCACCTAATTGAGGCCTCCCTGGTGGCGTAAGGATTAAGTCTCAACATTATCACCATCAAGGCCTGAGTTCAATCCCCAGCAGGAAACTTACCTACATTCATGTGCAGCAGACTCCTCCTGTCTTGCCCACTGCTCCCCTTAGCAGTGTATTTCAGCCCATCTGCCTGTTCTGCTCCCCACTCTTTCTCTGGTGAATCTTCTTAATACTACCCCCACCCCTCACCTCAGGCATATACCACAGTTCTCCTATGTAAAACTAACTTACTAACTAAATAAATAAAATATTTATACATACAGAACTGAGGTACAGGCCAAAAGTGCAGGGGCGGTGAGAGGATTCACCAGAGACAGAGTAGGGAGCAGAAAAGGCAGATCGACAAACTACACTGCTGAGGGGAGCAGTGGGCCGGTGAGGAGAGGTCTGCCACACCATGTGGATCACCTCTGGGGAGGGGATGGAACTCATGTTGAAGTGGCTTTAGCTTCTTAGTGCTGTGCTTTAATGTACTGCACCACCAGGAAGAGCCCCGAAATAAATCATTTTTAAAAATTGGGCCCTCTTTTTTTTTTTTTTTTTTTTTAATTTGCTGCACCAATGACCCTTTCTTTGCTGGACCCAGAACAGTGAGAGAGGTTCCAATCTAGTCAGTTGTCTTTTCTGCAGTCAACTTTGGCACTATCTTTTGTTTGTTCATGATACACACAAGAGAATGAACCCAATGAGCTCAATTAGTTTAAGTTTGGGATATCTTAAGCTTGAGGTGGCAACAGGATAGTCAAGTGAAGATGTTTATCAGGAATCCTGAAGGGGATTCATAGAGATAAATCTGGGTTGAATAGAAATGGATTTTTTTGGGATAACCACTAGTAAAATAACAAAACCATCAAGATAGATAACTTTGCCAAGGAGGAGAGGACAAAAAAAAAAAAAAAAAAAGAGGAGTAGCCTAAGGATGGCCATAATAGCCTAAGGATGGTTATTTTTATGGAGTCAAAATAGTCAAAATAAGCAAAGAGTAACTGGAAAATAATCAGAACTCAGGTGGAGACTAAGGTAGAGTTTTTCAAGAACAGAAGGGGAAAGACTAATACCAGGTGAGGGAACCCTGAATATTTATAAAATAGTGTTTCAAACTAATATACTTCATAGGTAAATTTCTACAAAGTTAAGGCGATAGAGCAAAGATTACATAGGGAATGAGGAGGAAGTAGGATGAGTGACTGTACATATATTTGATGGTGTCAAGAAATTAGCAGATGGCTTCTTAAAGTAGGTAAGCAGTGTTGAGTAGAAGGCAGAATGTGCATATTTGTAAGCTGGCACTAAGGAAATTCTGGAGATACAGTGAGAGAAGGGAGAGGGAATAAAGGGAAGGAAGAACCAAGGACAAAATCCATATGATCAGCTTTAGAGTCTACTTGGAGAGGAGGATTCTGATGCTCCTTCCTAGGAGTCCAGGAACAGCTGGGGGAGCTACAGAGTTTATAGATTAGGAAAGAGAAGTTTTTAGAAATATGTGATAAAAAAATATTTAATTGAAGAGTCATCTAATTTCTGCTGTGTTATCATAGAAGGTCTTGGTAAAGGAAAATGCAGACTAATGTTAACTTATAATACAATTTTGATTTAAGGTAAAAATATCATAGAATTGTCTGTCAGTGCAATAGTAATGGTGATTTCCACTCATTATATTGTTTAGATACAGGTTCAAATTTGATGGAACACACCAAAAGTCAGTGACTTGTAGAACAGAGCTTCTTACATTGATGGGGAATCTAAATTAATTTTCTTCCAAGCTATGATTTCATGCAATGACAATTTTTCATATAATTTAAATGTCTCTGAGTTGTTTTTTCTTAGTCTGCTCAAGTATCAGTATCAAGTATCTTTACTATTAAGAAAGCCATGGCATTGCTCTAGAAAAGATAGCAACTTGTCA